AGTGGACTAAGCAACAGAATTGCTGATGAAATTAAGACTTGGTTAAGCGCAGTTTTGGCAATGGACCTTCCAGTAGTCTAAGTATCTCATCCCTACAGCACATGGTGAACAGTGGATTCCTCAGAGGACAGAGACTTGGTAGTCACTGGGGTTACAGCTAACTTAAGATTTATCTCCAGAGTGCAGCAGCAGTGAACAAAATGCTAGAAAGCACAAAAGAAATGGGAGGTAATACAAAGCTGGGAACAGATTCTGAACAGTTCTGTTATTCGAGGCCTCACAGTCGTTTCAGACTTTTTTAATTCTACTGTGAACTATCTTCCTTTTGACTTCTTCATGTGAGGTCTGTTATTATTTACAATTCCAAGTAAAAAATCCATACTTCCATATTATCTCTTACTAGGATTCACAAAACATCTCACAGCGTCAAACAAAGCTTAAATGGACAGGAATAATTTTAAAATTACTATTGTGGACTGCAAAGAGATGTCAAGAGAACTACATGCATAAGTAGAGATGAATGTGAATCTGCCTAGAAATACTGGGTATTAAATATTTCTATTATTCATATGATACAGAAAACCATTATTTTTATTAGTATTATTCTTTTGCAGAAAGTAGCAAAACTTTGTTCAAGGTTATGGAGAATTAGATTAATTGGCACATTCTGTCCTAAATTTCAAAATGTGGGACCATGTGATGAGAGGCTATTAATCCTTAGGTCTTCAAAGTCATCTTGAATTGCAATTTATGTTCGTGAAACTGATTCCCTCACTTTTCTAGATTTCTCTGACCGCTATTTATTGCGGAGCTACAATGTTTAATTATTTAAATGAACCCTTCCTCCCCCAACAATTTCTCTAACAGTTGTTCATACTCCTCCAAACAGATTTGTCCAGTGAGACTACTTTATCTTTCCAGAACAGAAAGTCAAAGCTATAGGCGAAAATCCCATGTTAATAGAAAGTTCTGAGCACAATCAATGCACAGGAGGAAAAAAAGAAAAGCAAAGAACCCGAAGCCTGAGAACTACATCCAAACTAGAAGGCTCTGTTGTTATTGCCAGAAAGTAATGGCCTCATCTAAGAGCTCTATGAAGAGCAAAAGTGTTCATTTTTCAGAATATAATGAATAGACGTACATAGGGCTCTTAAGACAGAATAAATTTAACTACAGGAGCACAGTAATGAGCAGTAGGCACAGTAATCAATGGTAGCATCAGTACATGCACTGGCTTGCAGCCATGCCACCTTTACCCAGAAACAGAGAAATTCCATTTAAGCAGGACTGAAGTGAGTCAGTAGGTAGACAGCAGCTTCCTAAAAGGAATTATGGAGGGGAGAGAAAGGATAGTCTAAATTCAACAGGAGGCATTCTCTATATGCAATTACTGTTCAACTGAAAACCCAGCATTTGTTTTAGTTCTGAAACTTTCAAACATTATGTCAAAATGAAGATGTGAAAGATCTATTTTAATATTTATTCATAAGTAAGCAATTTCATCGAATGTCCCTGATGTCCAGCTCAGAAACCTCTATCTTCTCTAATAAAACTTTCTCATTTGTTTCAGTCGGAGGAAGTTTTATTTTTCTCTTTTGGATTATGATAGTTATAATGTTTCTATATAATAACCATTATTCACCCAAAAGTTTCATTTCAGTGGTGATGAAGTAAGCAATCCCACTAACCATTATTTACCTCCCAGAGAGCTGAGAGGCTTAGCCAGTGTTTGCAAAGCACCTGAGATGTCTAAAAAAAAAAAAGGTTACTACAGGTTATGAAGTTACTATAAATGATGGAATATCTGAGCCAATTCCTGCCCACAAGTCTGGCACCTCTTCCTATCAGTAGCCCTCTGGTTTCACAATCAAAAAAGCAGTTGCATTCCCTCTTTATCCTGTGTAACACTACCACCACGTGTTTACAAAGCTTAAATTCAAAATTGTTCTGGGAGGATTGTATAGCTTTCATAACCACTGTAAGAGTTCCTTGGCCTCTGGATGGTTTAACCGGAGAGGGCTTTAGGCTACTCAAAGGTCATGGCCAGATCAACAGACAGGTAAATAGGTCAGTCTCTTCTCAGTACTTTTTGTAATTTCAGTGAAGTACTGCTTACTTCCTATCTTCTTCTGCCCCCTAGTGAGCTCTGATTTTCACTCCACCTGAACAATCCTGGGGCTGCTTTACAACTTACACACATACAAAAGTGCTAAAACACTAAAGTCTTTTCTTTGTACATGCTTTACAAGTGTTCTTCCTATCGTTCTCCCCTGAATACGTCAGAAACTAAAGAGCCTTTCTAGCCCTACAGTGCTAATATGCAGGGAAAGGATTTTTACTGAACAGGGAAACGCCCACAAAACCGGCATACTATAAAATCCCCTTAGGCATGTCAAAGAAAACTTATATTTGTTAATTTATATTTCTCTGCTTTATTAGAGCGCTGAAGTTAGAAAAAAATCAAACATTTTTTCACAAATCACTGTTTAACTCTTAAAAAAAAAAAGCAAAGAACTATAGTGTTTGCTGCCTAGAAAGTATCTCGAATACAGCACCACCAGAGCAAATCCACTACCACCCAGTTAGATCTTTTGATCTAACTTAGCATCAGGTACATTTATAGGAAGCCCCTCCATGACACTGCCTTAAACAGCAGCCAGTCATGCAAACACTACTGTGTGCTAATTAATAAATATGCCTACAAGTAAATGTTTTCAGGATTGGGCTTGTGGAGAACAGCAATAAAGAGAGGAAACAGACATCACTTACTGCACTAACTTTGCCTGCCTTTTCAGTTATTTATCTTCAAATGTCAATGTAACTTCTCTCATGTACGTGCTACGAAAATTTTTGGTACTGTTCCCAAAAAACAGCATTGTCCAGTATGAAAGTCCAAAGGAACAAACTATGTTCACACAGAATTCTTTGCTGCTACAAAGCAATAAAACCTGTCAGAAGCTGGACAGTTAAATTTTGTAACGGTAATTAAAACAAATTGCAAATGGGATGGGAAAAAGAATGCAGAAATGTATCATCTAACGCTGCCTCAAAATTAAATTAACATTTTGCCTCAGAACATGAAGGAAAAGCGGGATAGATGAGTAACAATTCTAGAAACAGAGCTTGTCACATACAAGTTAGAGGTAACAGCTGAACAGTCAAGTATAGCAGATCAGATGATGCTAACTACAACGCCGAAGGTACTTGCTTATCAAAAGTATGTCATGCCACAGAAACCCTGTATCTTTCTTGATGGCATTGTGTAAGGAACATCAGAACCTGAAGTGCAAGTGGAGTAGTCAGGGGAGTTAAAACTGAACTTTATAAGTAGCTTCACTCATTTGTTCCGTGTACAAATGTAGAAGTGAAGACAACTATTGTAAGTGAAAAGCTAACACCATAACAGCAGACCAAAGAAGTATGCAGTACAAACACAAGTCTGGAATACCTTTTCTGCAGAGCAATGGGATGGACTTTGTTAAAAAGTCATGCTTGACAATTCTGTAACTACGATGCTACAGGAGAATTGCCCCTGCTAAAATAAAATGAGTGTTATGGTCTAGGAGCTCTTCTTCAGTCACACGATCATAATTTAACTGTAAAATGACCATAGGTATTTCATCAAGAGTAATCTCCTCCTCTCAGGACAGAACGCTAAATATGGTCCTCTTGATTACTGAATGAAACAGACAAAATAATTTCAAGGTTTTAATTAAAGATTAATGTGTCAGACGCAGGTAAGTGAAGAAGGTAACAACATTTCCTAGGAGTATAATGCACAAGCTACCAGCTGCAGACCTGCACAGTGGAGCTTCAGTTGCCTTTCACCCCTCCAAATGGAAATGCAACAGGGGCTTATATTGAAAGGCGAAATTAATCAAAGCTTTTAACTTTTGTACAAATAACTAATATCTGTAGATTGTCCTGCGGTCTTTGGACTGAAAGAATTCAGTACTTTCAGTGTATTTCCATGTATTGCTTCCGGCAAAGCAGGAGACATGGTGACTGCAAAAGCAGAGAGGAAACAGAACTGGTTATACCCGTTTAACCTCAAAGGGAATCCCCAGCTGACTGTTGAGGCAAGCTTTACATTTCCTCTACCCGGCTAGAAATGACATGTGAATTGTTTCTGACAGCAGTATCAATAAAAAGGTCAAAGGAGAGAGAACTATCACACTAGGCAGAGAGAAAAGCATTCATCTTGACTGTACACAAACCTTGGCTTAGTTGAGTGCAAGATTTATAATGAATAGCAAAACTTTTGTTTCAGAGGATTCTCACTTTCCACTTACAATTAAAACTATTAGGGCTTTGGAGCTTTAAAGTTTTTTTATTTTTCCCAAGTTAAAACATTATCACATATTCAAGAAGATAGAGAAATGGGATGCCTAATATTTGTCTTTAAAAAGCAGCTTTGCAGTGCACCTGTTGCTGTGAAATAGCAATGATGAGACTGTTAGAAGTGATTACAGATCTAAGGTGCTCCACTTTGCAAGTGTCCAAACTGAAGCACCCTAAAAGGGCCTGATTTTCAGCAAAGAAAGAGACAGCACTTCAAAAAATCGCATCCCCTAACAGGTGTCTCAAGCTTTGTAATCAAAATCACTAACATTATTTTAATATACCTTGCCCTAAACATCAAATAAAACACAGACAAAGAAGCAGTAGTAGAATGAAAAGTCATTTTATTCACCCACTTAAGAGGCCTTCTCCATCTCATTCAGCAAGGTTAAAGTTTTTACAAAGCTGTAGGGTAACAACCACTGGAATGCAATTAATCTTCGGTGTTACAAAAGCTGGGACAATGTTTCCCTGGTATTTACATTTTCACTGAATTTATCATTTAAGACAATAAAGTGACTAGAATGCAAACACCCTGGTCTAGCCAGAAGAGCTACAGTTCCTGTAATCAAGATAGATATTAACACTAAGTCAAAATACATAGGCCTAGGACTCATCTGTCAGATTTCAGGATGCAATACAAGAGAGAATATACTTACTGAAACTTTCCACAAGGTCAAGGGCAACGTGAGTAGCAATATCCATTCCAGTATTTATGTAAGACTGGCAGTTTTTCAGAGATGAAAGAGAGGAATCCACAGAGTTGAATGAGATTCTTGCACCACCTGGCATCTTGAAATCGTTACTCTGCAAACAACAGATACAACATTTTGAATGCAGTTTGCACCCAAAGAATCTGGGACAGAAAACATAAGTACAGATAGCTAACCATCAAGCAGTGTCAACAGAGCCACTGGAACATCGGAGAGCAGGGATGAAATCTTAGCTCCCAAGATACCAGTAATTTCAGCGGAACTGCAATTCACCAGTGGTTCTCAATTCACCTCCTATTCACTCTTAAGCAAAACTACACCACAAAAAGCAGCTTGCATTCCTCATCTCTGCTCATTCCTATGGCTAAACCACAACGAGGTTCAAACTCTATTATTACATTCACCTGGAAATTACTGCTCTATTTCAGATCCACATGCCCAAAAACTTGGCTATGTTTTCTAGGCATATTATCAATTAGGCTAGAAAGAAATATGACTTCTTGCATCCAATCCAGTCTCCCAGACTGCAAGCCTGTTTCAACAGTTAGCCCTTGGAAAAAACAATCTAATAAAGGGCAACTGTTCTAAAACTGTATTTAACAGCAAATCAGCTAGCATAATTTTTAAATAAAAGCCCACCTTACAAATGGTGCCTACTTCGCCCAAAGATGTCACACATTATTAGTACCAGCGTCCCATTAGCACAGAATAGTGTCACACGATAATCGTGTTTATCTTCTTTACCACCATCTTCCTTTCCAATAGAGATGTATCACCTACAGCCTTGCGAGGTTTAACTGCTTCTCCTCCATCATTAATAAAACCTTCAAGTGGGTTTGCTTACACTATGCCTACCCACAGTGTCCACATCAGCTCGTTTCTTCTCTTCCCTCTTCATACTTTGCCATAACTCGTTTGGACAACATGTAGCTATTATAAGAAGCATGAGACCCGAGTGAAGAATTTTATACTTTAAAAAGTATAAAAAGTACAAAATATACTTTAAAAAGTACAAAATTTAAAATGTTCAGCTTTAGATACACAGTTGTTCACAAAAAAAACCCACAAAAGTCTTGGACAGACAGAAATACTGCATTAGTCCATGTAAAGAGTAACTGGTCATGTTCCAGGACTATACTGAGATCATATTAGGGGAGGGAGGGAAGGGAATCCACAACCAAATTTGGGGTATAGCACAAGTTTTATCTCAATCATACATAAAATAACAAGGGGATGAGTTGTTCTATCAACAGTAGCCTTCAACAGGCTATAATCCAACAGAAATCTAGAAAGTATCTAAACAGAAAAGACGTACCTTTGCCCAAGCTTTGCATACCTGAGGCTGTATCTCCCTCTGCTACTCTCCTTGGGATTCCAGAACTACGTCTTGCACTCTTCCTAACTTGAACAACATTGCCGCATTCCTGGCAAGTATCACAGACTACAAGACCTGAATACCTGCTGTCACACTCTCTTCTCTCCTAATGTCTTCTTTCATATCTTTTTCTTTTTTTTCCATTTAAAAAACGTGCACTCAAGACCATATTTTCTGACACCATTTTTGGGCCATGTGCTTCCTACAACATTTGAACAACAGTTCAAGTTCACCACTTGAACTTCTGAATTACATGCCAATTGCTTTTCTCTCTACCCCCTTCTAAAGGTGTATCTTACCACAGAGAACGCAGCAGCCTTCAACAACAGCTCCAGTTATGTCAGCTCACGCTTTCCCCACCAAAAGACAGTGACTGCTCTCCTTAGATATCTTCAGAGGCTGTCAAACCAATAACAGAAGACAAAGAATTCCTTGAAAGTAAAGGAAAAGGATGCTCTTAAAGATTTAATAATTACTGCTTTCAGCTGTTACATTATTTAACTTTTTTAAAACACCTGTTTGCCATCTTAACAAGACTGTATAGAACCTCTGTGATCCAAATATAGACTACTAAATAGTCACGCAAAACCACGTTAGCAGCTTTATCTTTCTGGGCCCATTTAGTGCAAGTAAAACAGTAAGAAACTAATTCCCTTCTTGAACTTCGTAAATCTCGCTCACTGAGAAAGCCTGTTGTGCTTTTGGAAATTTCACAGATACCCACTGTGAAAGGCAGGAATCTGAAAAAAACAACAGTGAAAAGTTAAAAAGGCTTCTTCATTTTCCTGACATTTGTAGAAGCACTGAGCGAACTACACAGGAACATAAGTTACCGTTTACAATATTAAATCATACCACTGCATTTTCCTCTCAGTTCGTCTTTTGGAAAGCAATTTCACAGAATCACAGAATAGTAGGGGTTGGAAGGGACCTCTGTGGGTCATCTAGTCCAACCCTCCTGCCGAAGCAGGGTCACCTACAGCAAGCTGCACAGGACCTTGTCCAGACGGGTCTTGAATATCTCCAGAGAAGGAGACTCCACACCCTCCCTGGGCAGCCTGTTCCAGGGCTCCGTCACCCTCAGAGGGAAGAAGTTCTTCCTCATGTTCAGACGGAACTTCCTGTGCCTCAGTTTGTGCCCATTGCCCCTTGTCCTGTCACTGGGCACCACTGAAAAGAGCTTGGCCCCATCCTCCTGACACCCACCCTTCAGATATTTATAAGCATTTATTAGGTCCCCTCTCAGCCTTCTCTTCTTCAGGCTGAACAAGCCCAGTTCCCTCAACCTCTCCTCGTAGGGGAGATGCTCCAGTCCCCTCACCATCCTTGTAGCCCTCCGCTGGACTCTCTCCAGTAGCTCTTCATCCTTCTTGAACTGGGGAGCCCAGAACTGGACACAGTACTCCAGATGAGGCCTCACCAGGGCAGTGTAGAGGGGAAGGAGAACCTCCCTATGGCTTTCATAGAGCCATAGGATAGATTGGGTTGGAAGGGACCTTTAGAGTTCATCTAGCCCAACCCCCCTGCAGGGAGCAGGGACACCTTCAACTGGACCAGGTTGCTCAGAGCCCCATCCAACCTGGTCTTGAATGTTTCCAGGGATGGGGCCTCCACTGTCTCTCTGGGCAACCTGTTCCACTGTAGGCACTCTTGGACAAATTTTCCTTTATTTTTAAGAAATAAAAGATTATTTTTCTTAGAAACTGCTTATGATCCCAAGCAAAGATTTCACTCGTGAATCTTCTAGGCGAATTCTTGAACTCCAGCTCTCAGCTGCCCATTCTGCCCCCAGAGGCAAAGCCACACTCCTCCCTGGAAGGGGTTTCAGAGGGGTGAGTCAAAGCACTCTTCTTGGCCAGGAAGGTCATCCATGGGGACATCAATGAAGCACCCAAAATCGACAGCCCCCACCCCCCTCCCTTCTGTAAAACACAACCAGCAGAATCAGAGTTGGAGAGGAGACCAAGCGAGATGGCCGAGGTGAGTTTTTTCGCTTCCAACAGTAAGTGATCCAGTGGCCCAGACCGGATTACCAGGCAGCAAACTTCAGCTACACTTCCTGCCCTGCCGCTTATTTTGACGCTTCGAGCAAATGGCCTCGTCCCGCTACGCTTCCACACCCCAAACCACGCAGCAGAGCTCAGGAAATCAAACCGCGACTGCTCTAACGGCAGAGCCACCGGCGGCAGGCGCCC